TGCCGCTAAGTTTGGTCGTGAATGCTTGAGGCCTCGAGTTCAATCTCCAGGACCATTTAGAACAGGCATGTTGGGGGGCTGGAGAGGTGGCTCAGTAGTTAGGAGCACTGACTGTTCTTCCAGAGGACCTGGGTTCAAGCCCCAGCACCCACATGGCAGCTCACAACTGTCTGTAACTCCAAGATCTGACAACCTCACAACCTCACACAGACATACATACAGGCAAAACATCAATGCAAGTAAATTTTTTTAAAAAGTTATATTTAAAAAAAAAAAAAACAAAAGAACAGGCATGGTGGTACATACCTGTAATCCCAGAAACTTGTGAAGGTGAAGGCAGGAAGATCAGAAGTTTAAGGTCATCCCTGGCAACATGGTGAATTCAAGGCCAGCCTGTGCTATGTTACATGCAACCCTGCACAAGCTTCTGAATATGGTCCTTTTGCTCAGCCATTGGCTCACACAAACCAGTGGCTGAAGCCCTGCAATGCAGAAGTGAGAGAAAAGGCCAGCAGAAGCTTAGAGGTCTGGGGATCCTCTGTCCAACCTCCCTGGGGTGAGACCCTTGTAAAGGGTATGTGGGATCACAGCTGGGCACAGATGATGACCAAGGCCTAAAGCTAACAGCTGATTACTCATTACCTCAGAAGTGGAGGTCCCACACATTTACAGTGAGTCCTTTTAACAAGCTGGCCAGCAGAAACCAACCAGAGCAGTTGGACTACTCTGGTCCGCCCTCTGGTGACCATATGAAGAATCAGCAAGGCTGTCATTTCTCAAATGCTACCTTCAGACAAAATGCTTTTCACATACCCTTGACATTTCAGTAAAGGCTGGGCAAATATGCATGGATATGTCCATACATGCCTTGAGAATGTGGAGAGAAACATTTTTGGCCTGTGAGCCCATGACCCTGTTGTGAGGGGAGCAGGAAGTGAGTCCTACAGTTCTCACCTTTCCCTCCTCTAGGGTACATTAGACAATAGGTAGAACTCCAAACCACATTAAACAAATCTCTTTTCTCTGCTCTTCACTATCTCTTGTCTGTTGAATTGACCTGTCGGGAGCAGTGGCTGAGTCTATGTTGTTAGACCTGCAGGACCCAGGCTTCTGACGCTATACCTCATGTCCTGAGATGTGTGCCATACATGTATAAGCAATTTTCAGCCAAGTGGGATTGTTTTGGTGTACACTTGGTAAAATTCAAAATGTACACTTCATAAGATTTTTTATCACTTGTACATTGTCTCCGTATAGGCCACAATTTAGAAAACCAATGTCTCTCTCTCTTCCTTCCCACCCTCAAGAAGCAACTATTCCAGTGCTTTTGTCTTTTCAGGCATTTCTTTCATTCTTTCTTTTGGAGGGGGAGGGGTTCAAGACAGGGTTTCTCTGTGTAACAGTCTTGGCTGTCCTGGAACTCACTTTGTAGACCAGGCTGGCCTCCACCTCACCAAGATCTGCCTGTCTCTACCTCCCGAGTGCTGGGATTAAAAGTGTGTGCCACTACTGCCTGGCTTCAGGCATTTTTCATGGCATTCACACTGATATTTTTCTTGTGTTGTTTCCAAGAGAGTCACTCCTGGCTGGCTTTGGACTCATCTTCCTGCTGAAGTCTCCCAAGTACTTGGATTATAGGCATGCACTACCATTTGTGTTCATACTGGTGTTTCCTGCCTTCTAAAATTGCTAGACCATTTAATGCCTAGTGGCAGTATATGTGTTTCATTTGCTCCACACCTCCAAAAATATTCATAATTATCTTATGTGAACATGGTTGTCCTGGTTAATTGGTTTTGTTTTTGTCAACTTGACACAAACTTGAGTTATCTGAGAAGAGGAACTTCAGCTGAGAAAATGCCTCTATCAGATTGTAAGACAAGTCTGTATTGGGTTTTCTTGATTAATGACGGACGTGAGAAGGCTCATTTCACCGAGGCAGGTGCCACCCGGTGCAGGTGGTCCTAGGTGCTATAAGGAAGCAGGATGAGCAGGCCATAGGAGCAAGCCAGTAAGCACCACCTCCAATGACTGCTTCTGCTCTTGCCCTGACTTCCCTCCCTTACTATAGACTGTAAGCTGAAATAAACCCTTTCCTCCCCAAGTTGCTTTTGGTCATGATGTTTCATCACAGCAAAACCAATGATCATCTGTATTTCTTCTGCCACTTGACCTCTTGTTCAATATCATTTTTGAGCTTCACTCCTACTTCCAAATATCTTTATGTATTCAAGATTCATATAATTTTTAAGCATTGCAACATTGTAAGTAGTGATAATGTTAGATACAATATTGCAAGTGTCTTTTGATAAATACTTGGGTCATTTCCAGGATTTTTTCCTTTATTTTTCCAGATGTTAATGTAAGATCTCTATGACTATTCTTGTCCATGTCTCTTGGAGCCTTAAGGTCAAGGTACTCCAGCTTCACATGCTCTGAACATCAAAATCACCTGGGCCTGTTAAACAGAGACCGCCAGGAACACACTGCCAAGGGCATACCCTGATTGGCAGGACTGAGTGGTAGGTACATGCAGGTGGCACTTAGCCTCAGTGAGTCTGGAAAGAAAACCAGCCTTACTAAGACCTAAGGTTGAATAAATGTGAATTGGGCAAAGGAGATTCAGGTAGTTTGAGAGGTCCATGTGAAGACTTGGGTGTCTTGGGGTTTCTATTGCTTCGATGAAATACCATGACCAAAGCAAAGTGGGGAGGAAATGGTTTATTTGACTTACACTTCCATATTGCTGTTCACAATTGAAGGAAGTCAGAACAGAAACTCAAACACATCAGGAACCTAGGGGCAGGAGCTGATGTCAGAGGCCATGGAGGGGTGCTGCTTACTGGCTTGTTCCTCATGGCTTGCTCAGCCTGAATTTCTTATAGAACCCAGGGCCATAGGTCCAGTGATGGCACTCCCTACCTTGGGCGGGCCCTCCCCCAGCAATCACTAATTAAGACAATGCCTTGCAGCTGGATTATTTTTTTTTTCAAGACAGGGTTCCTTGATGTATCTTTGGAGCCTATTCTGGCAATTGCTCTGTAGACCAGGCTGGCCACCTGCCTCTGCCTCCCGAGTGCTGGGATTAAAGGTGTGTGCCACCAACACCCGGGGCAGCTGGATCTTATGGTGGCATTTTCTCAGTTGAGGTTCCTTCCTCTCTGATGACTCTAGCTTGTGTCAAGTTGACATAAAACTATCCTGCACACCTGGGGACAGAGAAAACTAGATTGCAAATTGAAGGACTAGGAAAGAAGACATGAGTGCCAGAGAGATGGGCTGGGAGCACTGGGTCATAGGAAGGGTGGTGCATTACTTTAGGTTTTATCTGATGGCTAAAGAAGCCACTGGAGGAATCTCGAGCCATCAGGGAAGTGACTGAAACTGAGTTATAAAATGTGGCTCTGACTGCATAAGAAAGTCCCCAGGAGTGAGAAGGGGGATATTTAGTATTAATTCAGGCAACAAGTGGGGTGGAGAGCATAGAGAACAGGAGGGAAATTCAAAATCCACCTGGATCTATATACGCATGCATGCTGTGGCCCAGCTAATTCAACAATGGCCGCCTACCAACGGAAAGTCCAAGAATCCAGTGGGCTGGATTCAGTCAAGGTTAGATGTCTCAACTGGTCTTCAGTATTCATTGAAATCCTGAAGAAGTAGGCCCTAATGCCAGTGAACAAATGAACTTGCCAGAGTAGGAGCAAGCAGGCAAGGGCTTCCTTCCTCCATGTCTTTTACATAGGCTGCCACCAAAAGGTGTGGCCCAGATTAAAGGTGGATCTTCTCACCTTAAAAGATCCAGATTAAAGGTGGGTCTAACCACTTCAAATGATTCAATCAAGAAAAATCCCTCACAGGTACTCAGCCACTTGGGTTTCATGACTAGGCTTTTCTTGAGCACCATTTAAGGGTTCTTATAGCATCTCTGTGCTTATAGCATGTGTCAGACCATTGCTTTCTGTGGCTGAATTAATGTTCCTCTGTAAAAATGGAACAGCTATGGGCATCTGGGCTGTTTTCCTTGAAGTTGTCCGAGGAAGACAGGCAGCCCCCAAGCATGTAAGCCCAAAACCAGTTCCAAAATTTTCAAGGGGCCAGTACCCAATGACCGCGCCACACTTTGTCAGTAGCGATCAGGGGGTTTAGGCCAGCAGCAGCAACAGAGCCCTGCTGAGGGGGGGGGGGGGAGGACTGTAAAAAACGTTTCAACGGCTTAAATCCTCCCCAGGGGGATTCCACTGGGTCATGGTAATCATATTTAACGAAATCAAGAATATTTAGCGCCACTCTAACTCTACAAATATCTCCAAATATTCCTTGGGGGGGGGAGCGGGAGGCGAGGACCAGGACCTGGAGCTGTCTCTACTTCAGAGCTACACTCCAGTCTCCAAAATACTTTTGGTCAAGCATTGACATTTAATAAGACAGGAGATTCTCGCCTGGCAAAGACCTATCCCAAGTTTTTAGGCACTGGGGTGTCCACACGCGCAGACCAAGAGCTACAAAGGACTTTCCCTACCGGGGGTCACGATCCGCCCGCTGCCAGCCTTTCCCCATCCCGGGAAGCTACCACCAGAAATCCAGAGACTCTGCGCACGCGCCGCTAGATGGCTCGCTAGAAAGCCGGCCGGCCTCGGTGGGCGTGCGCAGAAGCGGAGACTTGTGAGCGCGCGCCACGGAGGAGGGGCCTCAAGAGTCCGGAAGGAAGCGCGAGGAGGGCGGGGCTAGCGAGGGAAGCCCGCCGGCCCGCAGTACGGCCGTCGCGGCCTGATGACGTCGCACAATGGCCGGCCCCCGCGGGTAGTGGAGCCCGTTTGTTCCGCCCGCGTCGTGCCTGAAGCCAGAGTCAGTGAGAAGCGGAAAGGTCGAGGAACGTCTTGTCCACGCTGCTCCCATCTCAGCGGAGCCGTGGCCGCCTCCCGTCCTCGCGCT